CAAACAGATCACTACAAGTCCAATCTAGTAGTGAGACCCTGAACACCCTGTATACCCTTCCCTAAAATTTAAAAAAAAAAAAAAAAATCAGACTATAATTCAGTAACTTTCTCTGCAGATTAATTCAGACTATGATACTGTGTAGAATACAGTTGCTTTGCAGTTTTATTATATACGCTAGCCAAATTGAATAAGAATAACGTTCAAAGACAATGGAATGCTGGTACTCTGAATTATAAATGGTCATCAAGGATATCTGCAATATAATTCTGTGAGGTTTCTGACTTCTCAGAGAAGAAACTAACGTATGCTATAATAAATATACTGAGATACCAAACTTCCGAAAAGATTTAAAAGAAAAACAACATAAACAGAAAATTCAAGGCAACTTGTACTTTGAATAATCCTAAGGTACTCTGTTCCTTTAGAGAATAATTACCCTATTTAAAAGTATAGAACAAATCTCTAGCTTTAATAAAATCTAAATTCTTTCAAACTACCAATTCTTAAAAACCAGAACCAACTTTATATATCTTAAAATACATCTCAAGAAAAAAAGCATTTTCTCCCTTTCCCTTTCCCATTCCCAGGATATGTATCAGTTCAATCAACATGCCCATCCTTAAAAAGCAAATAAGCAACTTATACTAGAGGATATATTTAATAATCTCATTTAAAACACCCGGGAAAATGCTTCTCAGATTCCTGTTTCACCTCAAAAAGCTGTTAATAAATTATCCCTTCCACTTTTCTTGTAAGGGCTGCCTGTGTCTATGTGAAGGCACCTATAATATAGACATGCTGAGGACTGCTACTAAAAGAACTTCTGATTGCAGCTGGCCATATATTTGCAATATACATATAAAATCCTTCTCAAATCTGCCTTGGCAACTTTCTTTAGGTAACCTGGAAAAAATTATATATACACATAAAGATAAATAACCTATCATTCATTAAATGCAAAAATGAGCTTGACTACCCAGATTAAACTGAGAGTTAATAAGCTATAATTCTGCAAGAAAGTTCATCACAAGAGTACATGGGAAAAAGCACTACGTGACTGAGAAATCTGTCCCCACTCTGGCCTACCCAGAGTGACGCTATCCAGGGTACAGTACCTTGCACTGTCTGTGCATCACCTTCCTTAGCCAGTAAGCATAGTGCTAGGGGAACATAAATACTTCTATAGCTCCTCCACAGCTAATATTTATGATTCAAGTTTAAAGCTATTGAGTATCGACTTCATGTACAGATGGCCTCACAGGTGACAGTATTATCATCAAACACAGTTAATGTCCTCAAAAGTTTTAGTTAAGAAGATAAAACATCAAGCAGTGATGGAACTCGGACAAAATGTGGGCTAAGTCTACTACTGGCAAAACACTACTTCCCTACCCCTCATCCCCAGCCTGTCAAGAGCCTTACTCTCTTAATACAAGAAATGAGAAACATTCTCATTTGAACATCTTGTTTTTTTCTAGTAAGTCTCCAGTTTGCCTATTAAGAAGGTAAACTAAAAGCTCTCCTTTTCACATCTTGTTTTCTCTTTTCATTTTCCCTGGGGTATTAACAAAATATACTGACTTAGAAATGTGAGCATCTCCAACAGCTGATACATAAGTACCACACTGAAAAGGAAACAGAACAGAAGCACATATTAACTTATTCACAATTTCAAGATTACATGGCAGAAGTAAATATGCATCTTATCTGATGAAGAACTATAAAGCTACAATAAAACACGTAAGAAGTTGAAGCACTTACTTTGGCATTTAAAGCAACTGAAATGAGAAAGAATTTTAACAGCTGGGCATGGCACAGCATGCCTGTAATCCCTACTAGGGTAGCTGAGGCAGGAGGATTAGAAGTTTGAACCCCAACATGGACAATTTAATGAAACTTCAACCAAAAATAAAAAGGACTGGGGATACAGTTTAATGGCTGAGTGCTCCTGTACTCAATCTCTAGTATCCCTAGAACAGCTTGATTTTTGCAGAACCTACTTATCCAAATTTGGCACTGTGACTGTGAAATCTCAAGACAAGGTAAAAGAAAACACTGAACGATAAAGTAATTTAGAATTTGAAAAGTTCAGAAGAGGTGAATTTTTATGTCACCTTACATTGTTCTCATGTGAAAATCACTTTCAGAAGTGGAGCAGGGTTTGTTGTGATGATTCAATGAATTAATGCAGTGCCTGGCACATGACAAGTGCTCACCAGACATGGGCAACTATTAACTAAAAACCGAATGGAAGCCCTTATACGTAAAAACCATAATAAAATACCTCCAGAATTTGGTGATGCACAAGCTGAAACCTGGAGTTAAACAACTGTAAATTACTTAAACATCCTAATTCCACTCTTCCACAAAAGTTATGTGCTTTATTACCTTACATTAACTTAAAAAGTAAGTCAAATTACAAGACAAAACAAAATAAGGAATGCATTTTCTTGGATTTGTTAACTTTAAAACGCTTTTAAATTTCTTTTTTAGTAGTTCAAATTTAATCAAGAATATAAAAACAGGATCCTATCATATCATGGTGAGTATCCAATTAACATACACATAACACTGCCTTATCATCCCAAAAACAAAATCTTTTATCTAAATAGTATGACAACAAAAGAAAGTGCAGCTAGCCAGCTTTTCGCAAAAATATGCAAAGTAAAAGTCAAACTTCCACAAAACTAATTTATTAAACAGGTTCCTCTTTTAAAAGAAGTGCAAATAGTTGGAAACTTCCATATGTTTACATCAAAAGCTTGAGTTTTAAAACCCCTAACTTCCCACTTTGCACAAGAGACTAAGTGCATTTGCCCTACATAAGGTTAACCAACACCTTAAGTTTGCAATGATTCTGAAAGTTACTCTTTCTAGTGATAGTGATCTTCTCAATGCAGGGTAAATATTAAATGTTTACACCCAAACCAGCCCCTAATACACAAGTCACTCTAATTACCTACTAAATTAATGAAACCTTATCTCTCACATACACAACTTAAAACTAAAAATCGGTGGCGAGATTAGTAAAAATAAATTTTTGGTTACAAAAATATTCACTAATCATTGCGTAAAGGCTAAACACAGAAGATGAGTGAATCATAACTTCATAAAAAAGTGGACTTGTTTTAAATTCTTTAAGAAAACATACTGCAAATATATAATACACACATAGAACTAAAAACTAAAAGCCTACCTACTTGCATCTAAATTTCAGTGTTCTGTGATTCATGCATGCTCTCTTCACTTTAAAATTAGAAGCTCAAGCTAGATAACTTGGGGTCAGTCCCAAGAAAAAAATAAGACAAATCAAACACGTTTATCTACATAAAAGTCTTTATATAAATCTTACATATAAGTATGTATCCAGCCATATATCTTGGATAACTAAGAATTTAAGCAAAAGATACTTTAATGAAAGTATTTTTACGTTTCAGGCAACCACCTCCTGGAATATTTGTCTTTACTATATGTACTCTGCAAGCAACAATCAAGTTCTTAAGACTAATCTTTCCTAAACCATCATTATTGGACTGATCCATCTTTGGCTTTCTCAACTTTTTAAGTAACTACACAACTTAATAAAACGAATGAGTTTCTACCAAAACCAAGTGATATAGAGTTCTACTAAAAAAAAAAAAAAAAAATCTTACCATGTTTTACCAAATATGGAGTATTTGTCTCAACTGATGCTTTGACACATCATTTTATCCCTTTAGCCTCAGGATGAACTAAATACAGTCCAAACTGTTAACATTAATACTAGAAATTAATATAGACCCATTGAGTGTACTGGTGAATTTCTATTTCACAACTATCAATTGACAACTATTGTGCATTCAATCAAAATTACCACAGTGGCAAAATGAGTTTTATTTTCATGATATTTTGATGGTGAAATGTGAGCATTCTAGCTTTGACTTCTGGGTAAGCATTTCCTCTGCCTTCAGAAGATAACAGTAAATACCGATCCTAGAAAAACCTGGCCTCAAAGAAATTTCGTTATCTCTAACCTAACTCTAAAGATTCCCGGGAAATACCAAACAAGGGATGATCTCCGCCCGGGCGTCAGGGTTATCTCAGCTACAAGCGAGACTGCAAGTTTGGGCTCCGAAGGGCCCCACTAGCATCATGGCTGTTGCAGACCGATGCGCAGGAGGCGGCGGTGGACGAGGAAGAGGCTGGTTTGTTTACTTGCAGCCCGAACCACCGCCGCCGCCAGCAGCGACAGCATCCGCGGAGCAGCCAAACCCAGCATCTTCCGCACATTTCTATTCTTAGCACACAACTCCCAAGCGGATCAAAACCCCACTACTATTAAAAACGCAGACGAGCTCGTTACCCACCTCCCACACGCACACCCCCACCCTGCCGCGCTGTCTCCCCCAAAGCGCGGCGGCGGCGGGGCGGAGTGGGGGAAGGAGACCCGGGGGACGCCGGTGCATCCTCGCCGCACCCCACCCAGCGCGCGCAGACAGCCCAGCAGCGCCCAGCGCGGCAGACGGCCCCTCCCCCCGCAAACACCGACCCCGGCGCCGCGCGCGTTATGTAACCTAGCCGCCACCCCCGGCCCGCCCGGCTGGCGCCCCCTCCCCAGGCCGCGCGCCCCGGAAGGACCAGGGCCCGGAGCGCGGGGTGCAGAGCCGGGAGGCGCCGAGCCGGAGCAATCCAGACACCCGCGGTACCGCTAGGCCGGGGACACCCCTCCCCCGAACCCCTGCGCGCCACCGCCCCCCAGCTTCCCCCGGAAAGTGAGGGGGTACCGGGGTCCTCCGCGCCGCGCCAGGCATCCCCCGGCCTCCCCACCCACACCCGAAGCCTCTGCCGACCCAGCCCCCGCCCACGCCCCCAGCGCACTGACAACCCAGATGCCCCTGCCTCGCCCCACCCGCCGCCGCCCCTGGCCGGAGGAGGCCCGGAGGGGGCCGGGGCCCGGGTCCGGGCCGAGGGGCGCGGGTGAGCGCGCAGGGCTGGGAGTGGGGGGCGGTGGCTGTTACCTGCAAAGGCGGCGGCGGCCCCGCAGCTGCTCGGGCGGTGGCGGAGGATGGAGCTGGGGGGGCGGGGGGAGGAGAGGGGGCGACTCGGGGGTCCCCCCTCCCTCCTCCTCCCCTCCTGTCCTCCCCCCACCCCGCAGAGCCTCTGGCCCCCTGGAGCCCGGTGCGGCCGGCGGGAGGGCAGGCGAAGTGCTGCCGGGGAGGGAGGGAGCCGGCCGGGCCGGGCCGCGGAGCCGAAGCGGGAGGCGGCGGCGGCGGGAGGAAGGAGGAGGGCGGGCGGCGGCGGCGGGGGGAGGCGGAGGAGGAGGCGGAGACTCTACTTGGGAATCGGATATCGGCTACAAATTCAATTCATCACCAGAAAACACCGCTCGGGCGGGGGCCGGGCGCGCCGGCGGGACGGGCGGGGGCTGCGGCCCCGGGCG